TTCCTAACTTAAGTCTAATTCCAAAAGAGTGAGGACAAGATCAAGATCAGAGCCTTCCAGAAATACTGGCTCCCTGGGATTTATGAGGGAGCCGCGGAGGGGGGCCTACGGGGTGCTGTGCTCGCAGCCAAGCTGCTGTCAGCGGCCAGCTGCGTGGGAAAACACGAGCGCCCGCCGCGGGCCTGTTCCTTGAAGCACTTTCGATCCCAGACGGGATGGAAACAAACACGGGGAGAAGACACGCCTTCCGGTCCTCGCCAGCGGGGGCTGCATTCCCGGCCTCTCTGTGTTACCAAGATACAGTTTCATCCCTGAAATGCAATCGTTCCTTAGAGAAATAGGAAGTTTATTCCATGGTCCGTATGCAGTTTTTCACTTAAAAAATACATATATTATTGATTTCAGAGAGGAAAGAGAGGGGGAGAGAGACTGAAACATCAATGATGAGAGAGAATCATGGATCGGCTGCCTCCTGCATGCCCCACACTGGGATCGAACCTGCAACCCAGGCATGCGCCCTGACCGGGAATCGAACCGCGACCTCCTGGTTCATAGGCCCATGCTCAACCACTGAGCCATGCCTGCTGGGCTTTTAAATTTTTTATGTTTTTATTTATTTTAGAGAGAGAGGAAGGGAGAGAGAGAAACATTGATTGGCTGCCTCATGTACGCCCCCGGGCATGTGCCCTGGCCAGGAATCAAACCGTGACCTCCTGGCTCGTGAGCCGCACTGGCCAGCCGGCTGTCCGAACACATTTTATTACAGGATGGGTCCTCCCTCGGGAAGCCAGGGCTCAGGCCGAGCTTCCTGCCCGCGAGGGCCCGCTGAGTGCTGGCGCATGGCGGTGTTTCTCCACTTGCTCCGAGTGTGGAAGGAGTCAGCCTGACCCTGCGGTGGAATTCCTCCCGGCTGCAGGAACTCGGCCAGCCACTCCATTCCCGGCTGGACTTCATTATCCGAAATATGGAGAGGGTGAGGCTGTGTCTTCGCCTTTCGCCAGTACCCCACGATGCCAGCGAAAGCCGGCCCTCAGAGGACCGTGCCCAGATGGCCAGGCCCTAGGGATGAGAGGTGACAGAGGCCCAGCGCCCACCCCCAGAGGGTGGTCTGGGCAAAGGGGACAGAGGGAGCCTGCCTCCTCCCACAGGGCACACCGGGCCCCACAAGGCCCAGGACCCGTCCAGGGACCCCCAGGACACCAAGCAGAGGTCCTAGGGCTGCCCCCCAGTCAGGGCCCCTCCTCGCACATATCCTCCACCCTCTCCGCGCCCCTCCCCCACTCCAGATCTCTCGGCATTTGGGGGAGACCCTGCCTGGCTGAAGGTTTGCTTCCAGCACCATCTCTGAGTCTGGGGAGCCCTCAGGGCGTGGCCAAGGACAGGGGCCGCCCGGGCTGGGGGGAGTCTGCCTTTAGCTGGAGGCCTCGTGTCTCGCACACCCCAGGGAGCGGGAGCCAACAGCCCGGTGCCGTGGCGGGGGCAGCAGGTGCTGGGGAGACAGCGTGGGAGGAAGCTGGTGGGAGCCAGGGAGCCGGGCCCGGGTGGAAGTCTGAGAAGGGGACTCCAGAGATGAGCAGAGGACAGTTTCTAGCCGGGGCCGCAGCCTGGGCCATGCCAACCCCTCCATGCCCCTTGCAGGATGACCTGCGGTGTCTGAGCTACTCGGGGATGCTCAGCGTGTGAGTTTGGGGAGGGAACTGAGACAGGAGGGGGTAGGTGCTGCTGGGGGGCTCCTGCCAGCCCAGCACACCAGCGCTCCCTCATGCCCGCCTTCCTTCGGTCCCGGCCGTCCCAAACCTGGCCTTAGGACTGGCCTCTGCCTGTCCCTCCCGGCACTGCCTCGTCCAGCTGGACTCTAGTGGGGGGATCTGTCAACAGGAGCCGAGACCCAGACCCGCCCTCAGGCCCAGCAGCCTGCCGCCTTGGGTGGGGGTGACCCATGGCTCCTGTTCCTCAGTGGCCCCACCTGTAGAATGGGAACAGCACTAGCATCCCCCTGAGACCTTCTTCTGTGGATGAGGCCACGTGGACAGCTGGGGTCTACTGGCCAAAGGAGGTCTGAGGGCTTGCTCCCAGGAAATCCCTGCGTCCTGACCATGCCCACGCGTGGAGGGAGGTGGTTTTATGGCGGAGGGAGCACTCCTGGGGAGCTGGGAGCAGGCACGTGTCGGGGGAGTGACGGTGAATGAAGGACGATGGGGAGCTGGGAGCTGAACGGGCTGTGCAGAGGCTGAATCTGGGCCCTCACCCAAGGCCTGGATTCCAATCCAGCCACTGCGGCTGCGAAGGCGCTGAGCTCTGTGCCTCAAGCTCCTCCTCTGGCAGCCAGAGCTGGGCCTTGAAGAGTTTGAAGCAGGTGATGACATGCTCTGTCCAGGTGGCCGATTGTGTCCTGCCAGTGGGGCTGGCGGGGGGGATGCGTGCCAACCCCGGCACGGCGCCTGGGCCTTGGCGAGCAGGTCCTGATGGGCAGTCCCCCCGGGTGAGGAGTTTTGTCTCCCCACGTTGTGTGGCCCCAGCCTGGGGAGAGAGGGGCGATACTCTGGAAATGCTGGGAGCCCAGCACCCCTGGAGGTGCCTGCCCCAGGCTGAGCCCCGTGGGAGGAAAAGCAGAAGAGAAACAGCCTGGGAAGCAAGCACACAAACAAAGGACAAACAAGGGATGTGCTTGTTATGGGGAGAGAAAGGGCCCATTGAGCTCCGGGCCCTGGGTGACCGGCGCATCCTCCAGGCCCGGAGCTCCGGCAGCTCTCACATCTGTCCCGGGCATGGCTCCCCCGCCACCTGTGACCCTGCTGCCGCGAGGGCTGGGGGCCGAGTCCTGACCCATCCCCGAGTTAGGCCCAGTGAAAGCAGCTGCACGTTCCCCAAAAGCTCACATGCTCAGGGCGGGCTCTGCCTGGGTGGCGGCTCCTTCTCACTTCCTCTTCCTCCTGCTCTTCTCTGGTCTCCCCCCTTCTCTTCCTTCCCCTTGGAAGTCCCAGACGCAAGCCGTGGACCCCAGGGCTAACACAGGGAGAATTACTCCCACCCTCTAGGGGGTGGGGGGGGAGGGGAGGGAAAGTACTATTTATTGAGCACCTACTTTCTGCCGGGCCCTTTCCATCTGGCAGAGGAGGTATCAAAGCTCAGCGTAGTGAAGTGGCTGACCTGCCTGAGACTTCATTTTCCTTCCAGCACAAAATCCACCCCATGGGACGGTGTGATGGTGGAACTAGGGCAGAAAAGAGGAAAGGCTACCATGAATGAGGAAGCATCCAGCACACAGTAGGTGTTCAGTAAACATATGCTGCGTCCCGTGTCCGAATCCCTGTGGTATGTGCTGAAGAGTTGCTTAAGGGAAGGAAAGGAAAAATGGCTGCTCTAACTAGTTCATTTATTTCATTCAACAAAAATTGACTGAGCACCTACTATGCGCCAGAAACTGTAGGGACCAGAATAGAGCAGCGACAGAGACAGGAAATGCCTCTGCCCTCGTGCAATTTGCATGCTAGTGTAATGTTAGGGAGAGGCAGTCCTTTCATGGGCTTACCCAACACAAAGGTGTTGAATGCCTACTATGTGCCAGGTTCTGTTCTCTGCCCTGTGTGCTTCTACCAAATTCTGTCAGGCTAGGAAGCCGCAGTGCCCTGTGCCACCAGCGCCTTCGAGGGGACTTGAGAAAAGGTGAAAAAATGTCCTAATTAATACACAAATCAACAATAACAACACGGAGAACGGGCTGCTCAGAAGCTACTAACGAGACCCTCCAACCCTAAAAGGAAGTCCCTTCTAATGAAAAGAATATTTACTAAAGGCTCCTCCCATTCCGGAAGCATTACACATTCCCGGCATCTCTCAGGCCTCCCACGGGATGGTGCTATGGGCTAAACCGTGTCCCCCTCCAGATTCACGTGTTGACATCCTAACCGCCAAGACCTCAGCATGTGACTGTATGGGGGAGAGGGTCTTTAAGAGAGGTGATGACGTTAAAACGAGGTCACCGGTGGGCCCTGCTCTGACCTGACTGGTGTTCTTACAAGAGGAGGAGGTGAGCACCCAAACAGGTACAGAGGAAAGCCATGGAGAGCAGGGGGAGATGGCCATCTACCAGCCAGAGAGGCCTCAGAGGAAACCAACCCTGCCGACACCTGGAGCTTGGACTTCCAGCCGCCAGGATGGTGAGAAGGTAAATTTCGGTTGTTTCACTCTCCCAGTCTCTAGAACTTTGTTGGGGCAGCTTTAGCAGACTAATACAGGGAGACACCATTTCCCAATAGACAAACGGATTCTCAGAGAGGTCGTGTAACGTGTCCACGGTCACCCCGCTGGAAACAAAGAAAAAGGGGTGGGGAACTCAGATCTGTCTGATCCCGAGCCTGTGTGCTTAGCCACGGAGCACTGAGCAGGTTTCTCTTCTCTGACACGTTCCGGGCCTGTTTCAGAAATTCGTTTTCTTACTAGATCTCCTTTTTTTTTAATTTTTATTGTTGTTAATCCTCACCTGAGGATATTTTTTCCCATTGGTTTTATTTAGAAAGAGTAGAAGGGAGGAGGGAGAGGGGTGGGAAGAGAGAGAGAGGGAGACATCCACGTGAGAGAGATACATTGATTGGTTGCCTCCTGCACGTGACCTGACCAGGGCCAGGGATGAACCTGAAACCCAGGTGCGTGCCCTTGACCGGGAATTGAACCTGAGACCCTTCTGTGCTTGGGCCGGCGCTCTAACCACTGAGCACCGGTCGGAGCTGCTACATCTCTGCAGGGTAAGCATGTCAGGGCAGAGGGGTGGCACTGAGCCCAGTTGCACATGGCAGACCCTGGCCCCGGGAAAACCCTGCAGGCCCCTGGGCAGTGGGCTGTCTGCCTGTAGCGGGGCCGAGCGGGAGGAATTCTCCATGCCTTTTCTTCTGTTTTCTAAAGAGTCCTGATCTTCAGAGGCAGCGACCTGTGGAGAAAGAAAGACAAATGTGAAATATTCCGAAGACTGTGAGTAATCTGAAAAGACAACGCTAGATCAGGGAGATACAGCTTTTTCTTAAAGAGACAGACGATAAGTATCTTAAGCCCTGGCCGGTGGGCTCAGTGGGTGGAGCAATGGCACAAAGGGTCTTAGGTTCGAATCCTGGTCAAGGGCAGTTACCTGGGTTTCAGGTTTGATCCTCAACCCTAATGCGTTTTTTTACTAGATCTCCTTTTTTTTTTAATTTTTATTGTTGTTAATCCTCACCTGAGGATATTTTTTCCCATTGGTTTTATTTAGAAAGAGTAGAAGGGAGGAGGGAGAGGGGTGGGAAGAGAGAGAGAGGGAGACATCCACGTGAGAGAGATACATTGATTGGTTGCCTCCTGCACGTGACCTGACCAGGGCCAGGGATGAACCTGAAACCCAGGTGCGTGCCCTTGACCGGGAATTGAACCTGAGACCCTTCTGTGCTTGGGCCGGCGCTCTAACCACTGAGCACTGGTCGGAGCTGCTACATCTCTGCAGGGTAAGCATGGCAGGGCAGGGGGGTGGCAGTGAGCCCAGTTGCACACGGCAGACCCTGGCCCCGGGAAAACCCTGCAGGCCCCTGGGCAGTGGGCTGTCTGCCTGTAGCGGGGCCGAGCGGGAGGAATTCTCCATGCCTTTTCTTCTGTTTTCTAAAGAGTCCTGATCTTCAGAGGCAGCGACCTGTGGAGAAAGAAAGACAAATGTGAAATATTCCGAAGACTGTGAGTAATCTGAAAAGACAACGCTAGATCAGGGAGATACAGCTTTTTCTTAAAGAGACAGACGATAAGTATCTTAAGCCCTGGCCGGTGGGCTCAGTGGGTGGAGCAATGGCACAAAGGGTCTTAGGTTCGAATCCTGGTCAAGGGCAGTTACCTGGGTTTTGAGGTTCTATCTCCAGCCCCAGCTGCGGCTAATACAAGGCTATCAATCATGTGTCTCTCTCACATTGATGTTTCTCTCTTTTTCTCTCTCTCTATCTATCTCTATCTCTCCACTCCCTTCTACTCTCTCTAAAAATCAATGGAAAAAATATCCTTAGGGGTAAGGATTTTTTAAGAAAATCTATCTATCTATCTATCTATCTATCTATCTATCTATCTATCTATCTACCTATCTATCATCTATCTATATATCTTAGGTGTTGTATCTATCTATCTATCTATCTATCTATCTATCTATCTATCTAATCTCTTAGGTGTGGCAGGCCAGACAGTCTCCATGGCAACTATTCAACTGTGCCATTGCCGCTGGAAGTTGCCATAGGTAACATGTAAATGAGTGAGCAAGGCTGTGCTCCAGTAAAACTTTATTGATAGATACAAATGTGCATTTGACATCATTTTTCCTGTCATGGAACTATTATTCTTTGTATTGTTTTTTACCACTTGAGAATGCAGAGCCCATCCCTAGCTCATAGGCCTGTGGGTGGGATTGGGGGCAGCTGCCAGATGCTGGGGAGGTACCTGTAGTGAGCATTTCTGGGCCCGAGAGCCTGGAAGGCTCGTGGACAAGGCCATCCTATCTTGGCCTACGGATGGGGACACCGAGGCTCACAAATCGGGGTGACATCAGGAGCTCATGGGGACCCGGCTCCATCTCTGGTCTCCGGGATTGGGGGCAGCTGCCAGATGCTGGGGAGGTACCCGTAGTGAGCATTTCTGGGCCCCGAGAGCCTGGAGGGCCTCGTGGACAAGGCCATCCTACCTTGGCCTACGGATGGGGACACCGAGGCTCACAGCTCGGGGTGACGTCAGGAGCTCATGGGGACCCGGCTCCATCTCTGGTCTCCTGGTCTAAGTGCCTTCTCGACCCTGAGGGCGCGAGCCCCACCACGGGGGTGATGGTGTCTCTTTGCAGAGTGAGCACCAGACCCAGGGGCGCGTGTCTCAGCTCCTGATGGAGGCCCCGGCACCGCCACCTCCTCAGGCTCCAGTGCGTGAGTGAGGGGCGCACAGTGCGTGCTGCGTGCAGGTTTGTGGTGGGAACAGCATGCGTCCTCCCCACGAACTCTCAGCCCGAGCAAATGCTCAACGAGCAGCACGGTGTTACCTCTGTGAATCCTCGGGACAACCCAGGAGGTGAGTGCTGTTACCACGTCCGCTTTCAGGTGAGGCCGTCGACACTCAGAGAGGTGATGTCACTTCACCCAAGACACACAGCTCACCAGTGGCCGCCCCCGGTCTCAAACCCAGGCCCTACAGGCTTCATAGCTGGGTGGACACTCAGTGGTGACAGCCCCCACCTCACCCTGCTGCCCCCCGCCAGGCCAGGTGTTGGGCTTGGAGAGCCGGTCACCCTGCCCACGGGGCGGATGTAGCTAGTGCATTTCTGTTGCATTCACGGGGACGCTTCTCAGAGGAGGCGGAGCACAGAGAACCAGGTCAGTGAGACACCCCCGGAGGCAAGAAAGGCCTGTC